GCTGTTCACCACCAAAGGAAGTCAGGGCAGGAACTCAAACAGAGCAGGATCTGGAGGCAGGAGCTGACTCTGAGGCCACGGAGGGGAGTTGACTACTGGCTTGCTTCACATGGTTTGCTTAGCCTGCTTTCTTATATACCTGGACCAGCAGCCCAGGGAGGGCTCCATCCATGAGCCGGGCCCTTCCCCATTGATCACTAATTGAGAAAATGCTTCACAGCTGGATCTCACTAAGGCATTTCCTCAACCGAGGCTCCTTCCTCTGATGACGCTAGCTTGTGTCAAGTTGACACACAAAACCAGCCAGCAGAATTCCTTTGTGCTGTGGAATGATGCAAAGGTGGGTTGCATTCTTTTATGTTGCATTTGTTTAACTCTGTGAAGCTGTGTTACTTTGCCTGCCTAAAACACCCGATTGGTCTCAAAGAGCTGAATGGCCAATACGTATGCAGAAGAAAGGATAGACTGGGCTGATAGGCAGAGAGAATAAACAGGAGGAGAAATCTCAGAAGAAAAGATCAGGGAGCGAAAGGAGGAGAGGAGGACTCCAGGGGCCAGCCACCCAGCTACACAGAAAGCCATGGAGTAAGAAATAGGAAGGGGGCTGGAGAGATGGCTCAGTGGTTAAGAGCACTGGCTGCTCTCCCAGAGAATCCAGGTTCAATCCTAGCACCACATGGCAGCTCACAACTGACTATAACTCCGGTTCCAGGGAATCTGGCCGGGTTCTCCAGCAGATAGGGCTGAGGCAGCGCTGGTCTCGCCGGTATCTCCCTGGGGCTGAGTGGAATGGTGTTGAGCGATCCAGACCTCCCTTCTGGCCACTGAGGAGAATACACTGAGCCAGGAGTCTGTTGAAGCAGGATCTCACTTTATTGCAGCAGGGCAGGAACTTATATAAGGCTGAGGTAGTGGGCGGAAGTCTTGAGGTAGAGTGAGGAATAAGGGCCAATAATACCCTGCCACGTCGGTGGTGGCTGGGCAGAGGCGGGCCTAGGTCAGGCTGTGCTGAATCAACTCCTCCCCAAACTGAGGTTAGGCTCAGGAAGTTACACTGGGCCTTAGGAGGCCCAACAGAATCTGACACCTTCATACCAAATACACATAAAATAAAGTTAAATAAATATTTTTTTTAAAAAGTTATATATATATATATATATATTATGGAAAGGTAAAAGCCCACAGACCTAAGGCAGACAGGATAATTTAAGATAAGAAAAGCTGGCTAGAAACAAGACAAGCTAAAGCCGGGCATTCATAAGAATAAGATTCTGTGTATTTATTTGGGAGCTGGGTGGTTGGGCCCCAAAGAGCAAAGAAGTAAGAGTTTTAAGAGAAAAACTACAATGAAGTGCCTGATAAGGCCAGAAGTCCTGGGTGTCCCTGGAGCTGGACTTGAAGGTTGTGAGCTGTCTACCATGAGCGCCAGGCACCAAACTTGGGTCCTTTGCAAGAGCAGCCCAAGTTCCAGTCCCTGCCTTTTTTTTTTTTTTTTTAAATACTTACCATATTCCTATCTCTTTCTCCCAAGAACTAAGATTCAGATGTGCACCCAAGTGAGTACCTGGCTTCTTCGACTATTTGATGAACTGCCCATGCCTCAACCACTGACAAAGCACATGGTATCCAGACTGGGTAAGTGAGACAGAGGAAAAGGACTGCCAGACCTTGCCAAGACAGGGTAAGATGGTTCTGAAAAATTCCCTGCCTCTGAAAACGGTCTGTCAGTTACTCTAGGCCTTAGCCAAAGTTGGTTGTTTCAATGTTGCAAATGAGACTTTGGGTGATTGCGCAGGCAGCCAATTGTCTCCATCATACACTACTTGACTCCAGTAATTATCATCTCCCTTCGCAGGCCTTCGACGGGGTTGAAGATTGGATAGTCGTGGTTACCTTCCTCTTATGATTTAGCCAAGCTTATTTCCGATGCAAGTCTTAGACCTTTTAGAATAGAATGCTTATTAAAACATTTGCCATGTGTTCCTTGCTTAATACTGTTTATGTTGTTTGTAATTTTACACTTGATATCTGTTCCTATTGTATATAGTTTTGTGTTGGGTTTGGATCGCTCTTGTTTAGACAAAAGGGGAAGGTGATGGGGAAGCTTTGTTAACCAATTATCTTCAAGAGGTGGGTCCAAGTTAGGGTGTGGCTTTCTGGGACCTGGAGGAAAAACAGCACAAGGCCTGGCCCAGGTGCCCTCTCACTGTGGTTCCCTCGCAGCACAGCTTAGCTTGGACTTCTCGTTCCTGTTTTGTGAGTTTTTCCTTATAATAAACAAAAATATAATTGTTTGTCTTTTAGCTAGCCTTGTTATTTCCTGAATTGAGCTAACTTCTACACATTCCAATGCAGATATTTCAAGAAACCCCCAAGCCACAATCTTTTTTTTTTTTTTTTTTTTGATTTTTGAGACAGGGTTTCTCTGTAGTTTTTGGTGCCTGTCCTGGCACTAGCTCTTGTAGACCAGGCTGGCTTCGAACTCACAGAGATCCGCCTGCCTCTGCCTCCCGAGTGCTGGGATTAAAGGCGTGCGCCACCACCGCCCGGCCCCAAGCCACAATCTTTAAAAACACCAAATTTATACAATTCACCATTTGTGAAGAGGCTCCATTTTTGTTACGTGTTCACATGTGTGCAGGTACATGTGTTGAGGTCATTGGTCGATATTGGATGCCTTCCTCAATTGCTCTCCGCCTTAGATTTGTGAGTGCGTGCGTGCGTGTGTGTATGCGGCCACAGCATCTGTGTGGTCGGAGGACCACTGAATACAGCAGTGATAGGGAGTTCAGCCAATCACATTCTGTTTTTGGGGCGTGCCGCCCTTAGGCTAAAGCCTGCCTATAAACCTAGCAAGTGGGCTCCCTCTAGCTCTTTTTCACCTGGCTCCTGCGTCCCGATGGATCGTTTGGATTCTGGTGTAAGCTGTTGTTAAGTCTTACTTCTGTTTATTAAAGCTGTATATTTTGTATCAAGATAGTCTGGGGACTTTTCATTACCAATCGCCCTGCGGCTTCACAGCAGGCTAGCTGTCCTGTGCGCACTTGGGGAGAGTATATTTGCTCATCATTTCCAGTACATGTGCTAGGACTAGATACTTCATTCTTCTGGGTCTAGCACACACAGACACATGTCATCAGGTCTGCATGGTAAGCACTTCCCCAGAGTCATCTTACCAACCCTTTCCAGTTTAAAAAGGTTTAAACATACTCATTTTATGTTTATGTAAGTGTTTCACCGGCATGTGTATGTACGTGCACCGTGAGATAAGTGGGTGTTGGATCTGATTTGGAACCTCCAGAATAGTAGCCAGTGAGTGCTCTTAACTGCTGAGACGTCTCTTCTGCCTCCCACCCAATGCATTTTTTGAGACAGTTCCTCATCAAACCTGCAATCAGTTCACTGATTCAGCTTGAATGCCAAACCAGAAACTCCCAAGAGCCCCCATTTTCTGCCCCCTAATTCTGGATTAGAAGTCAGTACCTGGTTGCCTTGAAACTTGCTATGCAGATCAGGCTGGCCTCAAATTCACAGAGATCTGCCTCCTTCTGCATTCCAAGCACTAAGATTAAATGTGTGCACCACCAGGTCCGGTCCGTACCTGTCCTTTTATGTCGAGTGATGAGGATCCAAACTCAGGTCCTTGTGTGTCTGGCTAACAAGCACTATGACTCCACTCGATTTCTAGACCCTGAGGCTATTTTTTCAAATACACATCACATGGGTTTAAGTGTTACTAGGAACATGTCTGAGACACACATCACATGGGTGTAAGGGTTACTAGAAACATGTCTGAGACACACATCACGTGGGTTTAAGGGTTACTAGGAACATGTCTGAGACACACATCACGTGCGTTTAAGTGTTACTAGGAACATGTCTGAGACACACATGGGTTTAAGGGTTACTAGGAACATGTCTGAGACACACATCACGTGGGTTTAAGGGTTACTAGGAACATGTCTGAGACACACATCACGTGGGTTTAAGGGTTACTAGGAACATGTCTGAGACACACATCACGTGGGTTTAAGTGTTACTAGGAACATGTCTGAGACACACATGGGTTTAAGGGTTACTAGGAACATGTCTTGCCAGCATGGGCTGCAGCACTCAGACAGCCGAAAGCATTTATATTTGTATCCTGTAATTGTTGATTATCATTTTCTTTTTTGGTTTTAGAAAAGACTACGGCTGTCCTGGAACTCGCTTTGTAAACCAGGCTGGCCTCAAACTCACAGAGATCCGCCTGCCTCTGCCTCCTGAGTGCTGGAATTAAAGGCATGCACCACCATCGCCTGGCATGGACTACCATTTACTAATGACTAAAATACATGATAACTTTTCATATTCTAAGGAATCAACATGAATATCATCTAAACAAATGCTAACGTAAAGTTATAATGCCAACATTGGGAGGTTGAGGCAGGTGGATCAGCAGCAATTCAAGGCCCAGTGCGGGTTCATAATAAAGCTGAAAGCAGTCTGGGAGACTTCAGAAACTGGCTCAAAAATCAAAACCACCAACAAAATTCACAAACACATAACTAAAGCAGAAACAACAAATGCTGACACAAAATAAGCTACTCGATCTATTTTCAGTTTCATGGTTCCACTCTCTTTTTTAAGCACAGGAAAAACGTAAGGTCCAATTCTAATCCCTGAGACTGAAATTTAGTCTTCGTGTTTATGGACAGGACTTGAAGACCCTTCCCATCTCACCTGTTTGGTGGTCTGGTATCTTGGAAGAGTAACAGTGACGTGGACGCTATGCTCCCAGGGGCAAGTGCAGAGAGCAGGGGTAAGCCACAATTTTCTCAGATTTCGCAATTTTCTAGTCTCGTTGTACCCTTTTAAAGATCAAATCTCATTATGGTGCCCAAGATAGCCTTAAAACTTGTGGGCTGAAGGGATCACAGGACCGTCCATCCCTAGTCTCATATATGCATAACTAAATAATACAACCTTTTCTTCAGAATAATAAAAAAGAATACAAGACGTAGCACTGTAAAACTGTTTTTTAATAGGTCAAATATCCTGAAACATACATATATTCTGATAGTCTTCTAATCCCAGTTGAATTCAAAATTTAAGTAACACACACAAGCTAAGAGAATTCAATATTGTTCCAAGGCACTTACTGAATCTCTGTGACTAGATGAAAACAAGACCCATCAGGACGAACGATTAGACAGTAATAATATAAAAATAACTTCTTGCTCACAATTTACAAAATGCATTATTGTTACAATCTTTGATCTCTGATAACCTGCAGCGCTGGCTGCATGAAACCAGCAATTTTAAAATCCAGAAACTGTTTCTAAAACTTCAGGGCAAATAATTTACAAATAAGGTACACAAAGACTTAGACCATGCAGAAATTCTTACATCTTGTTAATAATATTTTATGACTTCAACTTTATCAAATTATATACCTACTTGCCCTGTACATATACAAAATAATGCATACATGATAAAACAGCAAAAGAGTAGTCCTTTAACGCAATTATCATAAAAGTATTACTATATTAACAGGTCTACAAGCAGCTTGTAACAGGGTTAGGAGACATTAAGGCAATAATACTTGAAGTTACAAAATAAACAATAGGTAATACTTTTCCTAAATGTAGTATAAGGCAGGTAGATGGCCCCAGCAACAACATCAAGGTAACGATCTACACTGCTGTTAGCCCCACATTTTAAAGATGGAATACTATAATCTGGCCTTCAGTGGCACTTGAATTTTCCAGTATAATTTAAAGTGTCTTTTAACTCCCTGAATCATGTCCATTCTGAAGGTGGATCTCTTGGTCCTTTAGGTTTTCCACAGCGATTGCCAAAACCTATAGACAAAAAATACCATAATCACAGGTTAATATTTAAAAACAGTTTAAAAACGGTAAGAATGCATCCATAGTTGCTTCTCCAAACCCAATTCTCAGGGTTGCCCCAGCGCTGCAACAGAACACGGTGGCAGCCTCCGCCACTCTGAATCTCATGACAACCACGTCACTGTGTCCCAGACCCCCAGCTCAACCACGGGCCACGTCTTCCAGAAGAACAGGTAGGCTGCCCATAGACATTCGCCACGCTCTCTTCTCCCCCAGACCTGATTCCCAGGGTGGTCAGTTCCCTCCCCCTGGGCCACGCCTCCTGGGGATCCCCACAGACCATCCCCGGCCTGCCCTTCCCCCATGAACACACCAGCTGAGCAGGCATGTAAAACAGGCAGCACACAGCCAACACTCATTGAAAACCTCAAGAAGACAGAAACCTGGGAACAAAACACCCACCCAGCAAAGGCAAACCCAGATGCTGCTGTGTCTAATGACACAACCACTAACAACAGCCGGAGCAGAGTCTCCTCACTGGAGCTCAGCTGCCCGACGGCAGCAGCCCTGAAGATCCCAGCACAGCTGAAGCACAAGACCTTGACACCAACTCTGAGGACGACAGAATCCTTAGAGAGGAAATGAATAAATCCCTTAGAGAATCCAGGACACAAACATACATTTGAAGGAAAAGAATAAACCTCTCAAAGAAAGCCAGGAAAACACAAACAATTGGATGAAATGAATACACCCCTTAAATGAATACATTTCCTTAAGTTGAAGGAAATGAATAAAACTGTTCCAAGATCTGAAAATAAAACACAAACAGGGAATTCTAGAAATGGAAAACTTAGGAATGTGAACAGGAACTACAGAGGAAAACTTCACCAAAAGTTACAAGAGACAGAAAAATCACAGGCATTGAAGATACAATAGAAGGAATGGATCCATCAGCCACAGAAAATGTTACATCTAAACAATTCCTAACACAAAACATCCTGGAAATCTGATATTTAAGAATAGGATTAGAAGGAGAAGAAACCCATTTCAAAGGCCAAGAAAATATTTCCAACAAAATCATAGAAGAAAAATTTCCTAACCTAAAGGAGGACACACTTATGAAGGTACAAGAAGTATGGGACTGGAGAGATGGCTCAATGATTAAGAGCACTGGCCACTCTTCCAAAGGACCCAGGTTCAATTCCCAGCACCGACAAGGCAGCTCACACCTGTCTGTAACTCCAGTTCCAAGGAACCTAACACCTCACACAAACACATAACACCAGACGGGGCCAGAAAAGAAAATTCTTTTGCCATATAATAATCAAAACACTGAGCCCGGCGGTGGTGGTGGTACAGGCCTTTAATCCCAGCACTCGGATCTCTGTAAGGCGGATCTCTGTAAGCTCGAGGCCAGCCTGGTCTACAGAGTGAGTTCCAGGACATTCAGAACAGCTACACAAAGAAACCTTGCTTTGAAAATACAACAAATAAACAAAAAATCAAAACACTAAAATACAGAACAAAGAGAGGATATTAAAAGCTGCAAGGGAAAAAGACCAAGTACATATAAAGGCAGACCTATCAGAATCATACCCAACATAACAGAGACCCGACAGGCCAGAAGGGCTACATTTACACAATGGAGTATCACTCAGCGCTAAAGACAAACATGGTATGTACTCACTCATAAGTGAATAGTAGCCATTAAGTAAATAATAACCACGCTACAATCCACAGATCCAGGGAGGGGAAGAGAAGGGCTCTAGAGGGGACACATGGATCTCCCTAGAAAGGGAAAATAGAATCTGTGGGTAGAGTGGGGCACAGGGGGTTATGAAGGGTGAGGGAGCCGGGGAGGGAGGGAGTGTGGAAAGAGATGGCTGGAGTTGGGGGTCTGAGGGATGGTGTGGAACCTAGTGCGGTGGAAACTTCCTGGGCTCTGTGAGGGTGACCCGAGGGAGGACTCCTAGTCCTAGTGAGGGAGGACTCCTAGTCCTAGTGAGGGAGGACTCCGAGCGAGTGCACGCATGGGGCCTTCACGCTCACGTTCTAATCTCCAGCACGGAAGGCACGCTGCAGGCCATGGAGAAACCTGGACACCAACCCAGCTACAATACCCTCGACCTGCAATCTGTCTTGCCAGAAAGAAGTGCTGGGACAATGGTGGCTCAGAACTTGTCAGAGTGTTAACCAATGCCTGGTTTAATTTGTGAGGGGGCCTATGACCTGCACTGCCTGGGTGGTCAGGGACCCGGGGAACTGGTGGCCCAGAGAGCTAGGACAGAACTAAACACGGATCAGACGGGGTGTGTGTGTGTGTGTGTGTGTGTGTGTGTGTGTGTGTGTGTGTGAATGACATGGTCCCTAATGACATTCTGCCATGTTCACAGCTTGGTGCCCATCCGGTTGTCAGAGAGGCGTCCTCTGGCAGCAGATGCAAAGACCAACAGCCAGCATGAGGAAAGTCTACACTGAAGTCTCCTTCAGGTTTCTCCCTGCCAGGCTTGGAACCCTGTTTAAGGGTGGGACTGTAGGAGTCAGAAGGGAGGTCAGCAGAACAGGGCCCACTGAACCAACTGAGCAGGGCTCACGTGGGCTCAGACACTGAAGGGCAGGCCTGTGTGGGGTCTGTCCCAGGCCCTGCGTGTATGGTATGACTGTTAGCGTGGTTTTTTGTGTGACTCAGCTGTGGCAGTGTGTCTGACTCTTTTCCTCCTGTTAGGTTGCCGTGTCTTATTGCATCTTGTTTTTGCCCTGTTTGGCTGTCTCTTGCAGGTCTGCTCTTTTCTGAAGGGAAATGGAGGGGGGTGAGTCTGGGGGAGAGGGGAGGGGAGGGATAAGCTGGGAAGAGGAGGGAACTGCGGTGAGATGTACTGTATGAGAGAAGAATCTGTTTTCAATTAAAGAAAAAAGAATATATCTATAGCTACCCTCATTGTCTGAACAAATGAGTTCAAACCTAAACGGATTTTGGGTAACTGAAAAAACAACTACTTTTGAAAGTCATGATGCCGAGCTCAGTGGCAAAGCACCCGCTGCGGAGGGACAGGTCAGGAGGAACCCTGAGCTCGGGCGTCAGAACAGTCACAGCACACAGGTCTGCCTACACTAGACTCTAGCTTTCTTTCTCCTCTGAGACCAAGTCATCCACAGGGCAGCCTGGCCCCTCTCTGTCACAGAAGATCCCCTTGAACAGATCTTTCTGTCTGCCCCGCCCAAGGGCTGGCTGGGTCTATATGGTGCTGGGGCTCAAACCCAGGGCTTCTCATGAGCTGGACAAGCAACCTCTCAACTGAGTTAGACTTCCAGTTCCTTATATTGCCATTTTAAAAACTTTGATTTTTAATCTCTGCCTGAAACAGAGTAAATTAATTATTTCATAACTAATTTCAAGCTATTTTAACCACACAGGCTTTTACTCTTGGCATCATTTCAGAATCTTAATATAATACACTATAAAGTCTGATAAGGGCTAGAAGTATGGTTGCCAAGTCTGACATCCAGAGATGAATACCTTGAACCCACGATGGAAGAGAAGAGCCCACTTCCAAAAGCTACCTTTTCATCTCCACATGTACACATGCCACACATATGCACTCTCTCTCTGTTACCAGCAAATAAAAACGTATTAGCATGCTTAAACTGCCTTATGGAAATCCTGAAAAATAGTAGTAACACATTTTCTCACTCTCTAACTATGCAGAGCAGGCTGGCTGCAAACTTACGAAGCTCTGCCAGGATTAAAGGCACACCTGGATGAAGTGCTCTCAATGACTGATCCACGCTTCTAATTTTTGCTATGATCTTTTGAGAAAGGGTCTTATTATATAATCCTGGCTTTCCAGAAATTCACTATGAGCCTGGTCCTGAACTCACAGAGAGCCAGACGCAAGCGTTGAACGACCACCACCATGGCGGCCTATTAGAATTAGGAAGTGGATTACCAATATCTGTGGCTTCGGTTAGACTTTCTGTGACTTCATCTTTCTTGTCGCTCAAAGGAGATGGAGAGTCTGTGCCCGCCTCTGTGCGAATGCCCCCTTCATCTAAAATAAAAAACAAGTCCATATTAATCGTCACCCTTTGAGGTAGGCACACCGTCGCAATACTCTGTTGGATCAAGTTCCAGCTCGGCTGTCATTTCTAGAGTCTCTGGTGGTAAATACAAGAGGAGTGGGCACGTGGGACAAGCTGGGTTCTAGTACGTGACCTGCTGGTGCTGTTCCGAGAGCCCACCACGTAGAGCAGGCCGCTCGGTGGCTTCGGGTCTCCTGTCTCAGCCTCCTGCACATTAGACTCACAGAGTGGACAACAGCCCAGCAGTCTGTGACGAAGGCTCTTGTGCATTCACCTCATCTCGTCAATCCCGGGCATTGTAGGCTACACTTTCTTAAAGTAATTACAGTCAGACAAGTTTCTAATTAATGGACAATTTACCATGCCCCCATTAATTCTTTTGAAGTCTTCGAATTTAAATTGTAGCTAATTTATTCATTTAAAGATCAATGAAAAGTTGTTCTTTTTTTTTTTTTTTAAAAAGTAATTAACATTCTTCCTTCTACAACTTATGCCCCCACCCTCCCTCCCTCCCTTCTTTCCTTCCTGAGGGTCTCACTATGCAGCGCCAGCTGGCCTGGAACTAGCTCTGTAGCCTAGGCTGGCTGCAGACTGCAGAGATTATCTGCCTGCCTCTGCCTCCAGAGTGCTTGATGTCAGGTGTGCGCCATGCCCAGCCCAGTCTCTACGGCTCCTGTCATCTCCCTTATCATCGTTCTGGTACCCAGGATAAGTCTAAAGATGTTTTCTGTCTTTAAAATGTCTGTAGCCCAGCGAAGAGTCAACAGACCTAAGGTCGATCATATTTTTCTTTGCTCGCCCCTTCCGAATCTTTCCATTTTTGCTAAAACAATCTTCTGTGTGCCCAGGTTGGGGTCTAACTGCTCCTCTTCCTAAGAGTCACAATTTCAGGCTTGGCTTTCCTTTAAACGGTTCTCATTTCTCATTTATGAGAATGCAGAGCCACAGCTCGTGTGGAGCCAGAGGACAATTTTCAGTAGTCGGTCTCTCCTAGGGATTAAACACAGGCTGCCAGGCTTGGCAACAAAGGCCTCTACCTTTCAGTTCATAGACTGACGGCCCAGTAGAAGACACACACAGATCATCTCAGTAGTGAGGTAAACTCCCTAACAAGATCCAACATCGATACAATGGAAATGAGACATAAACTACTGGTGGTGAGGTCCCCAGGGACCTCCTAAGGGAAAAGAGATGTAGACCTGAGATCTTAGTTATGTGAAGATCACCAAGCAGCAGGACTCAGTTTTTCAAGCCAAAGTTTACAAAACCCAGGGAGAAAGGAGAGGGTGCTAACTGGAGCATGTGAAAGGAGCAGGCAACATCAAGAGCCCAACGGTAGATACTGTGCCCTTTGAGGCACCACGTGTCAGGAGCGTCTGCTGTGTTGTTGATGTAACTCAGCTTTCCAGCCACCTTCGAAGAGAGGTAGTAGCTAAGACTGACATCAATTTAATAACAATGTGATCTACTTTACTATGACAGAAATCCTTCTGCTGTTCTTCCTTCTCCCGTTTGAGATACGGGAGATCTCTGTGAGTTCGAGGCTAGCCTGGCCTACAAGAGCTAGTTCCAGGACAGACTTCACAGCTACAGAGAAACCCTGTCTTGAAAAACCAAAATAAATAAATAAACAAAAAAATTTTATCACAGAGAAGTTATCCTAGAGGCCTCCATACATAGAAAATAACCAACCAGCATGAAACATGGTATGTATTATTTTATTTAAATCTATAAAGTAAAAAGGAAAAAATAATCTAGTAACTTACCATGTAGCACTCTCAGGAAGAGAAAATACTACGTAAAGGGGTTTTCAAGCGAGTAATAAAAAGCTGTCAGCATCAATTAAAACTTACACTTTGATCCTAATTACTAGTATAATAGCTGCTAGATTAAAATCAGCAATGTAGAAGAGATACTCACTATGCTCACTTGCTAATACAAACGACTCAGGTGTTCGTTCAGGTAGGGGAGGAGGTGACTCTTCGCTAACATCAACATCTAAATTAAACATAAACATAAAAGAATTAAACAAACAATGAAATGCCATTCAAACAACAAAGAACATTTTGATGTCCTAAAAAAAAAAAAACCACTGCCAAGCAGCAAAGAAAATGAGTTCCAATCATCATTACCACCCCATCCGAGACGGAGCAGAGGAGGAGCAAACTCCATTGCTGCTCCTGCTGAAGCCCTGGTCTGCAGTAAAGAACCCACTGGCTCGCCAGCGCCAGTGTCTCCTGAAAGACTCAGGCGCTGAACTCAAGACTCAAGCAGTCCGTCCAATTCTCCTCGGAAGCTTTACTCATCTCAAAGGATGTACCTGAGTCCCGTGCCAGCAACTCAACTACCATCTGAAGCACAAGTTATCACTCTAATAGATATAACACAGCCACTACTATTTTAGGAACCATTTATGTACTAACTCCAAGTACTGTGAAGAGTGTCATCTGACCCTACACCAAAGAGTAAAGGTTTTTACACCAGTGGAAACCAAATTAGCCCCTGTAAGAGATAAACGATACTGCGTGAAGCAGGCCCCCCAGGTCAGCCTTACGGCTCAGGATAAAGCACGCAGACATGAGAAGAGCTATAGTGAGGATCCTCACTATTCTGTCCAGGCTTTACCCTTGGCTTCTTTGACAACGAACGGTATGGCAGGATACCCTTGTTTTATCATATCTGATAGGCACAAACGCTACAAACAAACTGCAAATCAAGTAAATTTCCAGCAAGCACTGCGGTCGGTCAGCCCGTCTTATGTTCAGCTGATGACAAGCACACAAGGTACAGCCTTCGGTCCACAGTTCCGATACAACACTTGATGTCTCCACCTGGAGCACCGGAACCCCCAGCGCCGTTTCTCCCTGCCATCTTATCACTGACGACCACAGAGAGGAGCCGGCTGTTTCAGAAAGGGCACATGACACCAGCACCGAGTTCTGTGCACTGCTTAGTACTTATCGGGTTCTTTCTTGTCAAGGATTGTTTCTTAATTGTGGCCCTGGCTTTTCAACAGTGTGCTTCTCCGTGGATCTCCAAACGGCCTTTCATACATGACAAGCTTTCTGTACAGATTCCCTAGGAGCTCTTGGTTAGAGCACATTTGCTCAGCATGGAAGAGACCCACATCTCATACCCAGCAGCCCCTCCTCCACCCCCAAGAGTCATACAACCAGAGACTTCGCTATTTTACTAAGGTTCCTGCACATCACAGTGTGTGGGGCCCACACTAGCCAAATCTGAAAAAGAAAGTCAGACCTAAGAAAAAAAAACTGGTCAAAATTGTACATGTTTGGTATGTATAGGCCCCGGGTACAGAAAAGGAAGAAAAGAAAGGGAAAAAAAGGGGGGACCCAATGAAAGAATTCATAGTGAAAACTTTTGTCAGGCAGCAGCTTATACAAAATACTATTTTTGGTTATCAATACAAATTTATTGGTTAATTCACTAACAAATTCTAATACAAAATTCTGTATTTTTTGTGTCAATTGTTTTACAAAGCAAGTAATAATCAATTATAAAATAAATATACATGATACAATCTACAAGGTAAGTAATTAGAACAACTAAAAATTACTTGCCCAGTAGTGGTGGCTCATGTCTGCCTTTAATCTCAACACTTGAGAGCAGGCAGATCCCTGAGTTTGAGGCTAGCCTGGTTTACACAGATAGTCCCAGGACAGGCAGGACTGCTACACAAAGAAGCCCTATCTCAAAAAAAAAAAAAAAAACCCAAAATAAACAACAAACCGCTACTTGTTTTTCTATTCTATTTTATGCACACTGGTGTTTTGCCTGTATGTTTGTCTGTGTGAGCGTGTCAGATCCCCTGGAACTGGAGTTACAGATAGTGGTGAGCTGCCATGTGGGTGCTGGGAATTGAACTTGGGGCCTCTGGAAGAGCAACAAGTATTCTTGACGACTGAGCCATTTCTCAGAAAAATAAAGTTCCAGGTACTTATCTCAAAAACCAAACAAGAGGGAAGGCACCATGAAGATTTCAAGAACCAATACTATACAGCAGGCATGGTGATGCAGACCAGAATCCAGGACAAGGTGGGTGGAGGCAGGAGCACCCGGAGTTCCGGGCCAGCCTGGCCTTCATAAGGAGACAACATATTGTACTGGCACAGCAGGCTGCTTAAAGCAGAGCGAGCAAGTACAGACCTGGTACGGGGCAAATACACCGTTCTCAAGTCTGGAGGGATCAAACGGCCTCTAGTCAGCTGAATACTTTCCAGTCTGTTGTGGGTTAATGCCACACTGAAAATAACTTTACTTGCCAGCATTTGTAAAAAGAGTTCTTTAAAACTTTTATAGTTGGGCAGTGGTTGGCACATGACTTTGATCCCAGCACTTGGGAGGCAGAGGCAGGAGGATCTCTGTGAATTCAGAGCCAGCCTGATCTACAGAGGGAGTTCCAGGACAGGCTCCAAAGCTATACAGAGAAACCCTGCCTAAAACAAAAAAAAAGTTATTTTGTAGTTAATGATAGGAAAAAAGTCTATTAAGTATTTACAAGAAGCATGGGTGAAATCAATGGCTAAGCAAGTGTTCTACAGTATTTGCTTCACTGATACTTCAAATTATTTTTTCTGGTTTATTTCTAATTGTTTAGTCAGATAAATCTGACTTAACTAAAAGCACTAGGCTATACAGAACAAGACCAAAGCAATCTTCTAGTAATGACAGGAATACTGTGAAAACCACAGCCTAACGGCACAACGACCAACGTATGGTAACAGTGAATATAAACTTAGTCTAGAGGGCAGACAGTAAGGAGCCCAGAGTCAGGCCACATTACCTTCTTCAGCTCCTGCCACGTTCTGTCTAGCAATGGACATGGGCAACACTTTCCTGGTGGAGCTGCTCTCAGCACTGCTGGCAGCAGAGACGGTGGCGCTTGCCGTGGAAATGCTCGTCTTGTTCTTGGTCACAGCACCGTCAGAGTCCCTGTCCTCTGAGTCTGAGTCGTCAGAGTGAAGGGGGTTGGTAAAGCTGAGGGGCGCTCTCAACAGAGGCGAGCTGCTGTGGTGGTCCACGCGCTCCTGGGTGTCCGCGTCTGCTGGAGAGGCTGCTGCTGAGCTCGTGGTCTTTACAGGCTGAGGATGGCTGTCTGGGGATTTGCCGTCGGATGAGTCAGATGCGGGTGTGGCGTGCTCAGGTCCGTGAAACGACCACGTCACATGTCCTGTCTTCTCGAGAGGCAAGCGGTCTGGCCGTGGTGGTGTGTGTGAGTTCTGGGACTCTTCTGAAGACTCGGGGACTCTGTCTGAATTTGTCACACTGCAGTCCACACAGGAATTCTGAGAAACACCATCAACTTTTAGATTACCTGAATTTAACTCCTGTGGCCTAGAGGTTTTGTCAACCATAGGCGACGAAGCAGATTTAATTTTAATCGCATGTCCCCTATTCAACAGTGTGTTCCCATCAAAACTTTTGGGGCCCTCTTGGAGAGGAACTTTCTTAATCTCAAAACTTAAATTTCGCTCTAATTTTTTATCTACATGTTCAATAGGCGATTCGTTTTTCCCTGTAAGGTCTGAAGATTTATTGTAATTTCTGTTGAGGTCTGCTGAATGCTGTTCTGATGAAAGCACGTGTAACACTGGCTTTGGGTGGTATCTGTCACTGTCCTGCCACACAGTAGTAACGGTCGGAAAGGCCGAAGGGGGAGAGGGCGTCAGGATGGGTGGCACCGGGTGAGGTTCTGGCGGCTGCAGGATCTCTTCCTTGGCATCCCCTTCTACAAGGCAACTGAAAAACAGCAAACGGACTTTAGAAATGCTTAACATTCTAAAAGCTGACTAATAATTCTGCAGCAAGAACTATTATATTAAAATTCATTACAATATGGTTATAAAGTTCTAATTGTAAGACTTTGGGTTTTGATGGCTTTCTTAGCAAATGGTTCTCTAACTGTCCTGTCAGGGAAGCATCATCACAATTACCTCCTCGGACAGCACGGCCCCTGTTCCCAGGTCACCAGAGAACCGGCCTTCCAGCCTCGCGTGCTTCCCAGTCTGCCTTACTCTTTCTGTTTACACTCCCAACTGTGTAAATAAAACTCTTCTTTTACTCTTTCTGCTTACACTCCCAACTGTATAATATAAAACTTTTCTTTTAAAACTGGTTTTGGTTCTAAAATGATGTTGCCTTTTCAGTCAGAGTCTCAGCGCACAGCCTAGTACAATCTCTGGGCTCTGTCCCCCACATGCTGGAATGACACCACCTCACTCACCAGAATGTAACCTTCTAGAGGACTTGTATACTTCTATCTTCAAAGGTACTGGTTTCTCACAAAATTAGAAAATTCTAAGTTGAAAACAACTGTTCTCTACAGCCGTATGATGCTGATTAAGTACAGCTTAGTTGTAGTGAGTGTCTAGCATGTAAGAGAATCCTTACCAGCAAACAAACACCCATCCCCTGTCTTAAAGAGGTAATAAATTAACGGAAGGAAATAATAAAACAGTGGAAGTCAGGCACAGGTCAATTTCCAACACGCACACGACCGCCCACAACTGTCTAACTCCAGCCCAAGGGGATCTGATGTTTTATTGTGGCCTCTGCGGTACCAGGCACACACGGTGTAAATGAAGTTCAAACACCCATACACATTTAAAAAAATAATTAAATAATTGTGTTTGAGTGTGCGTGTGCATGTACGCTCATGGAGGCCAGAAGAGGACTTTGGTTCCCTGGAGCCAGAGTCACAGGTGGTGTGAGCACCGTGACACGGGTGCTAGGACCTGAACTTGGGTCCTTACCTGCTGAGCCATACCCAGCCCCAGTTACTTATTTTTTAAACTAAAATGTGGTCTCTTCTATACTACTTACATTTCAGAATTGAGAAGGATGTACCTTTTCTGATCTAGAGCAATAACTTTAAAAATTATATCTGAGCCCCAAAGAAGTTTTTGACAGTGAAAGGAAACAATTTGATTGGAGAAAACAGAGAGCACAAAGTTGGAAATTACTGTGGGAACAAGCATAAGACCCTAAGCGTGCCAATCTGGAATTAATAACAGTAACTTTAAAATGTCACGTGATGAACCTATCTGATTAGTTCAGTTAGACTGTGCTCTAAACTTTTAAGTGATGAAATGAATTAGTCTCATTTGTGATTTTTTTTATCTCTTCTATTACATCTACTGTTATAGGTCTGACATTGGACTTTATTTATTTAACATCCTGCCACAGTTTCCCCTTCCTCCACTCCTCCCAGTACCTCTATACTCCACCCCTTTGTTTCTTTCAGGAAAGGGCGGGTCTCCCATGACTATCCATAAAACACGGCATGTCGAGTTGCAGTATGAGGCTGAGCAAGGCGACCCAGTAAGAGGAGGGGAGTACCCAAACCGAGTAGAGTCAGAGACAGACCCTGCTCCCACTGTTAGGAGTCCCACAAGAAGATCAAGCTACACAACTGTCACATATGCAGAGGGCCTAGGTCAGCCCTGTGCAGGCTCCCTGGTTGTCGGGTCAGACTCCACAAGCTCGCCTGAAGATCAGAACGCAGAGCTAAGCACTAGAGGCCAGGGAGTGGTGGCTCACACACCTTAGGTGCTCCCAGCACTGGGGAGGTGGAGAGAGGAGCATGAGGTGGAAGCAGACAGGAGCTCAGTGCAGGCTGAGGATGAAGTCTGAGGACAGGATTGCTCCTTCAGTCTGAACATTGGTAGAGGTAAAAGAACATTCTAGAGGCGGCCACTTTGCTTCTCTGATCTTCAGTATTAGCCCCTATAACTCTCGGGTTTTATTATTAATACCAACTAGAATTCATGCTATAGTTGATCCTGTGAGTTTTCTTCTAGTTTTCTTGACTCCTCTGGCTCCTACAATTCTTTCTTCTTTTCTGCAGAATTCCCCAACTCTGCTGTGTGTCTGCATCTGTTTCCATCAGCTGCTAGATGAAGCCTCTCTGATGACACCTGGTCTAGGAGATGACCAGTTCATCTTTGGAGACTCCTGTGAGATTCCCCTGAAACACCCCCACATCTCCAGCAGTCTCGTTCAGTACTCTTCCCCTCTGCCCCCCCCCACCTATTTTGTTTTCAATAATTTAATTTTTTATATTAATTCATTTAACCATCCGAAGCTAAACAGGTGTTTAGTCTGATAAAAAAAAAATCCAAGTTTTGTAAATGATTTTGCAGCACAGGAAAATATGACAACCTAAGTTCCGTTAGCATATATATTCTTAGGAAAAATACTCTTTTTGAGTGCCCGAGTGCAGGAGCCTGGAAAGTTCAGAAGCATTATCAGATGCCCTAGAACTAGAGTTACAGTTTATTGTGAATTGCCATGGGGGGCTGCTGGTCTCAGACTCAGAGGCCCACCCACCTCTGCTTCCCGAGTGGTGTAATTAAAGGCGTACGCCACTACTCCCCCTCAACAAAAATACATTCTTAACTCCATCTACTCAGTGATCTACAAACTCCATGAATTGGTAACATGTGTGGGGACAGTCGACCATGTGAAGGTCAAAGGTCAAATCAAGCTATCTCCCATCATGGCTCAACTTACTGTGTGAGACAGGCTTTCTCGCTGAACCTGGAGCCTCCCTTTAACTAGACAGGCTGGAGTCTGAGCTCCTGGACCTGCCGTCTCTCTCTATCTCTCCCTCCTCTATTGGTGGGGTAATGCATGTGCCACCATGTCAAACTGTCATGTAGTTGCTGGGCAGCCACTCTCGCTCTCAAGCCTGCATGGCGAGCACTGAAGTGGTTAAACCGCCAGTCCATCTCCCGTCCAGTCCCCGAGAGTCTGCTTTTTTAACTAGTCCAAAAAACTGTTGGATTGTTCTAGTAAAAGCAGTCTTGTTGAGGATGGCCGAGAGCAGCTGCACTTCACTGTCTGTGCACGTGTGAGGTGTGCACGCACCACAGACACAGTCACAAGTTCTCCCCTTCCACCTGACACAGACTGACAGCCCTGACCTTCCCGCCTTTACCTTCCAAAGGCTGCCTTGCGTGCCTAGCCTGAAACACATTATCGTTTTTAAGTGGGCTGGTCCTCTCATTATTTTCCTCCAGTTTTTCTTTGATAATTCAAAGTTATATAATGGTGTTTTTGAAAACTGTGGCAAATTAAAAAAAAAAAAGCACCTTAAATATTGTTTAAAAGCTCAGTAAAACCAGGTGGGGGCGGCACATGTCGTTAACCCCAGTACTCAGGAGGGAGAAGCAGGTGGATCTGAGTTTGAAACCAGCCTGGTCTATGGAACAAGTTTCAGGATAGCCAAAGTTACACAGAGAATCCCAGTCTTGAAGAACAAAAACAAAACAAAACAACAACAACAAAAAACCCCAAAAAACCCCTCCTCCCCCAAAAGCTACATGACACAATTTTCCCAACCAATAAACTTTAACGTTTTTCATTAGCCAAAACAATAAGCCTCTACTTAAAATTCTGGCTTCTATGATTATTTGCTAGTCTATAAATAAGCCTCTTTAATACTTCTTTGGACTTAATGTAGTTGTCTTTTAAAAAATTAAAAACTTGAGACTGGTGAGAAGGCCTGGCTTTTCCAGAGGACCAGGGCTTGATTTCCAGCACCCACATGGTAGCTCACAGCCACCCCTTACTCCAGTTCCAGGGGTTCTGATGCACCCTTCTTACATACACACACATATATATACATACAGGTAAAATACACATAAAATCAAATGAATCAATCTTAAAAAATAAATACACAAGCTCACTTATTGTCGTTCCCCCCCCCCCAGCTCAGGCTATTATTTGCAGAAATCCCCAAGTCTGACCCAGTTTCTTTAATGCTGGTCTTACATCCAGCATCATCCAGTTGTATTGCTTGCTATTTTCTCAAGTTCCGGCACATTCTATGCTGTTAGTGGGCTTCCCAAATACGACAGTCCTAAACACTTATACATGAACCAACAACTTTTTGTCTGAACCCCACAAATGTGCTTGGTTTCACAAACAGGTGTGAAGGTCTACTTCATTTTCCTAGGAGGCACTGCTGGGAGCAGACATCCGCGCTATTTTTTGCCACATAAAATATTCTCTCAGGGGCTGGGTGTGTGGCTCGGTGGTAGAGGGCTTGCCTCCCACACAGGAAGCCTGGGTTCCTCTCTCAGCACTGTCAGAGAGAAACACTTTCTCCGCTGTGGCCTCCACACTGTCCAGTTGCCCTTTTCTCAGAGACCTGATGCTCACACCTGCTGTTCTCAGCCCTACAATCAACCTTCACTAAACCTTGGCTAAGCAGGTATTTGGGGCACCTTCTTTGAAATACGGACTTCTGCCCAGTTCTCCTGTCCTAAGGAAAACCACTTTAATGTGCCACATTCTAATGAAATAACCAGTTATAAAACTAAGAAATGTTCAGAATCTGTAATCTTAGTTATGCCAGTAAGGTAAAAGAATCCTCTCAGAAAATGTCCTAAGACACACAGTACCTCCTAGTCCGTGGTGGCTTTGGGGGAGGAGAGTCTTGTTTCTCACTATCAACAGAGCTGACCATGTTTCCAGGGGTAATTTCATTCTGTCAAGGGTAAAAAAGGTTTCATTAAAATTACAGGAAAAATAATTTTCCTTGATTGGCACATGAGAGAACTGAACCCACAGAGCTATCCTATGACCTCCACAGACAAGCTGTGGTGTGTATCCCCACCCCCATATCATGATGTGCACATACAAACACACATATACCCCTTGATAACACATTTTCAAAAGCTGAAGACCCAATGAGATCACTTAAGCTATAATGGCAATGAATTATAACATGACAAAAAGGGTCTTACAATTCTGCTTTCTAAAGAACATGCAATACATATTCTGGGCATGGTGATATATGTCTACAATCCTAGCACTCACGGAGGCTGAGGCAAGAGAACTCAAACAGACTGGGCTACATAGCAAGACTGCCCCCCCACAAACAGGTATGGAGTACATGCAAATAGGTACAGAATGTCAGACCCAGCTTATGATTATTCAGTTGTGGGTGAAAGCGAAGGAGAATATTGCAGCTAAGTTTTAAAATGTAGCTTATACTTGAAGCAATAATGAATACTGACTTTGACATAAAATCTTTTCCATATTTTACTGAGTCACTACATCTCTATCATACCAGTAAAAGTTAAGTAAATTAGTAAAACCTAGGTCAGATAATAATAACTTTTGATATCTCACACAGCTATAAGACAGGACCACAAAGGCTAAGTCTTGGTAAAAAGTAAGTCTGCCAAGGCTAGAAAGCTAAGAACACTCACACCATCAGCGAGTTTCTGTGCTGCATGAATTTCATAGACTTGTAGCTGCTTTTCAAACAGTTGGGCAATCGCTCTATGAACAAGCTCATATTGCTCCTGTTAGAAAGAGAAATTATTGATAAACAAGAGACGATGAAAAATACCAGAGGAAACATTTTTGAAAATATAATTTATAAAGAGAGAAAAATCAACTATACCTTTGTTTGTACTGCAGAGTGCCTCTGTGTTCTCATTTCTTGTATTAAATTAAATACATTAAATTCCTCTGGAATTTTCTAAAACCAAGAATTTAACACATATAACTATAGACAATGTCAAAAACAGTAAAACTATCAAGTTTTCCCACAGAATTTAGACACATGCTAGACACTGCAAACGTCCACCGCGAGCTACCTATCAGACACGGGTGGTGTTAAGGGCAAAGCTCACCCGAGCCTCAGCAGTCACCTTGGAGAGCGTGACCACAGCACAAGGGAACTGATGGATGGAGTAGGGGTTAAGTGTGTGAACTGAGCCAGTTCCTCAGAACCCACATCAATGCCAGGGGCTGGCAAAGTTTAAACCCCAGTGTGGGAGGACGGGCATCCGAGCTAAGTCAGGGGTTTTCAAGTTTACTAAGTAATATCATCTCAAAAATACGGTGTTGAATGAGCCAGGGAGACAGCTGATGATGGCCCTGACCACCACACGCAAGTGCGCGCACACACACACACACACACACACACACACACACACGTGAGCACACAAACGTGAGTGGAAAACGAAAAAGATATCTACAACCACGAGAAACTGATTACTTGGCGAGCTAAGAAACTGTGTGGATAAAACCTCAGATAAGGCTATCTGAAATCAGGCTGTAAATCAGAATGTGACTTCATTCTCTAGGCTGCTGTGCCCTCAGGGAGGGGGATTAGAACCTGGGGCCTGACAACAACATTCTGAGCCAGAGAGGAGAATGGTCCCAGGCCACAGCTTCAGAGTCCTTACAGACACTCAAGGCTGAGGCCTAAGTTACACTCATGTTAAGACAAAACCATCAAGGGGGACTACAACTGAAAAATACAACTTTAGCAACGTTTCAAACAGACATTTAAATCTTTTCCCCAAGTCTTGTTTGCTGGTATTTATAAGTATCTCTTTTTTTTCCAATTTTAATTTTTGACTTACAAAATGCTGGCCAACATAGCCAATCTCAAGCTATGAAAGACTAAGTCTGCCTGTAACACAGAAGACGAAGACAGAGAGGGCGGCAGAAGAAACAATGTATACATACTGACCTTTGTGTCTTCCACAAAACATCAAACACAACTTATGGAAATAGCAGAGGCAGAAACAACAAGGCCGACAGTAACCATGACAACTAAAGCCCCAGCTAGTGAACTACAGCTCCCGAATTTTATTCTAGGCACTTGGGCCCTGTAATCAACACTACAGATGAAAATGTGTTATAAATATAGGACACTGATCCCAGCAGAGAGAGAGGAGAGGAGCTGTGGTGGAGCCATGTCCCTGAAGTGAGTGCCTTCACAGGGTGTCCTGGCGTCCAGTTCAGAACCCCAAGCAATAGGTAACATTTAAACACACTTATCTTTAGTTACAAGGTAAAGCTAATTCTGGAAACACAGTATATCTAGGAAAACATACTGTAATTTAACAGTTAATATTAATGTGATGCTCGCTATATAAAAATCATTCTTACCCCAGCTTTCAGTAAGTTCCATGTGTAATCTATGGCACAAATAGCACCTGTTCTTCCACAGCCTGCACTAAAGATACAAGATTTGAGGGGAAAAAAATTAATTTTTCAAAATAAAAGGCATATTAACATTCAGAAACAAAATTCTACTTAGTGAACAAAATACAGTTAAAGTACAGAAACAGCATTATCCTTAACATTAAAATTTGAATTTTTAAATTTTTAATTCAAGGAATGTCTAACAGTACATGACTCACAGGAAAGATGTGAGCTCTGTCAGTCTAAGTTTAGCCGGTACCACCTTGTGGAGATAAAGTACAGCAGAATACTCAAGATGGCCTATGTTCTGGCCTGGAGGAGCCAGTAAGCTCTAACAGGTATGGGAAGGAGTCAATTTTAAAGCCAGCAGTGATTCCGTAAACAAAGACAACTGACTACCATCACCTCCTGAGGGAGGAGTAGGAGCCAGGTTTTTATAAATGTTGTGTTAATTAAGTGGGGAACATTCTTGTAAATAGACTGTGCTGAAACCTGCCTGTGCTGACGGAGTACCTAACATTCGCGTCCCCAGTCAGTTTAAGACCCTGTCTACAAGCACATGCTACAAAAGGACACGCTTTCTTTCCTTTTGTAGATGTGCATAAGTTACTGAAGTTAACACATTGTTTTCGTTGTTTAAAGGAATTAAATAATTTTTGGAATCAGAAAAATTCAACTGAAACAGACTTAAGAATTATGGTTACTGACTGGATAACATAAAAAAAGAGAAAATAATTTTAAATAACTTGTAAAAAAAAGTCAAGTCAAAATAACTTCTTTATTTTTCAATTCCAGAACAAAACACTTTCCTTTTTAACCAGCTGACTGCTCAACATATCACTGAACTATGAAAAATTGTTTTAATTCACAAATGTGTTAGATGATTCCCAAATTCCTACAGAGAGTCACTCTGGAGCAAGGAGCAGAAGGCAGCTCTCTTCACTAATCGTGAGACAGCAGTCAGGGAAGAAAACTTCAAAACTAAAGTAAATAAATCTTTAAAACAGTAATTAACCAATACATCTCTTTTTTAAAAAAATATTTTATTTATTTATTTTTGTATACAATATTCTGTCTGTGTGTATGCCTGCAGGCCAGAAGAGGCACCAGACCCCATTACAGATGGCTGTGAGCCACCATGTGGTTGCTGGGAATTGAACTCAGGACCTTTGGAAGAGCAGGCAGTGCTCTTAACCTCTGAGCCATCTCTCCAGCCTCCCCCAATACATCTCTTGTGTCTGAAACTTTCATTTACTTAACAAGACAATTTTATGTGCACGAGTGTTTTGTCTACATCTATGTTTGTGCATCACATGCATACACGCTTGGTGCCCTGAAGCCAGAAGAGCAAATCATATCCCCAGGAACTGGAGTTGTGCGCTGCTCTGGGGGTTGGGAATTAAACCTGGGTCCTCTAGAAAAGCAGTCAGTGCTCTTCACTGCTGAGATATTTTTCTTTTCCTTCCTTCCTTCCTTTCCTTTTTTTTTGAGACAGGGTCTGTGTAGCCCAAGTTGGTATCCTATTCATAATCCTCCTGCTGCTTCAGTCTCCACAATGCTGGGATTATAGGCATGCACCACCATGCTGGGTTTCCTTTACTTATTTCTTACAGTAAATACAACTGCAGATACAAGTAACTTAGCAGGATAAATTTAGGGTGATTCTGAGAAACACTGATTCTAAGGTCTTTTGAAGGACTAAGTTAGAGAATAGAAAAATTGCCTCAGGAGTAAAGTAGCTTTTATAATATTTGGAAATAACAGATTTTTCTAATGAAATTCTACATTAGGTTTTGAAATAGCCTACATGTTACTAATAATACAATCATGACTATATTGCAAAGCTACTGCAAACATTTTATTTTTTCATGATTGCCACATTTATTCTTTTTAAAACTATAAAAAATAAAAACAAAACAAAAAACTGTATTCGCCCCAACATTTTTAGACACTATATATGTAGACCTTACAAAATGAAGCTAAGGGGTGGTGGGTTGGATGAGAAATATCCTCCACAGACTCATATTTGAACACTTGGTCTCCAGCTGTCGGCACTTTGAATGCGGGGGGGGGGGGGGTGCATTACAACCCGTTAGGAAACAGAGCCTTAAGAGGAGGAAGTATATTATTGGAGGAGGGCTTTGAGGGTTTACCGCTGCCATGTCTTTCCTCACACGTACTGCATCCCTCCACAGCATTCTGATAGCCACAGGAGACAGTAGCAATACAAGCGGTTAACCATTTCCCTTTGTCTGCTGCAGTGCCTGCTGCTCCTCAGCTGTGCCCTGGGTGGTTGGTCTACTTAGGGGTCTGCTGCTGCTGTTGTTCTTCCCCCATCCCACCCCCTCTTTATTTCTGACAGTCTCACTCCACAGCCAGGGCTGACCCTTATCTCACAGCCTCTCCAGCAGTCAGAGAACAGGCATGAGCCACTCTATCAAGTTTTTGGATACTTTTCAATTAAAACCCAGTTGGATATGGTGGCTCATCCTTGCTGGCCATCCCAGCACTGGTGAGGAAGAGGTAAAAGTTCGAGGTTCACCTGGGCTACTGAGATCCTGCCTTAAAAAAAAAATAGTGATCATCCAAATGAGCCACACTTTTAAAAACCTTTCTAAAAAGGGTTGCAGGCAGGAGCACTGTCTTCTACATAGTGTAACCTGGGCTGTACTGGAGCAGAAGGTTGTCAGCTGAGACGGGACAGAGGAGTCACAACACTTAAAGATATAAAACTACAGACATGCTTAGGCATGCAGTCTTAATTCCAAATCATGGAAAAATTAAGGTTATCTTCTGCTCAACTGAAATGTTTCTTCACTTTTTATTTTAAAAATGTCACGGTTTATGAGTAGAAAAATAATCAGACAATAAAAGCAGCTCAATGTGTTCAATTAAAAACAGGTGGTTATCTTATTTAATGAACACAAACGCTAACGCACACTAGGAACACAAAATTAATTACTCCTTCAAAGACAAACACTGTCACGTCCATTGCCCCACAAGTCAAAGGCTGGGCTTACATGTCAAAATGACTAATTTTGCAAAAAGTAATTGGAATTTAAACATCACCTGAAAAGAGAAAACACTTCTTCTACACAGGAGCTACATATAGATATACCTAAACGTAAGCCATTATTTAGTTTTAGGTATACAACACAATTTAATAAAGCTGTCCAGTATCATGTACCAACAATTTACTTATAACTTACTATAAAGATGCCATGCCAGGTATCCCGGCACACACCTGTAATCCAAGCAGAACAGTGGAGGCAAGGAAGGTAGCCGTAGCTATTGAATAAATCTGATACCAGCCTGGTCTACATTAAGACAAGGCTTCAATCCTCAAAAACCCTTGGGGGATTGGCATATTTACCACTAAATAAGCGAATGCCACCCACCACAACTCCTGAAAAGGATAAAAAGAATACTAGCTTCATGCCCTGCTTAAGATTTCAACAGTTTTAAGTTATAATTTCATGGTATGACAGACAGTGGTGCAGACATGGAGGCTTGTTCCTCAGGAAGGAAAACTTCCCTGAATGCTTTTCACCTGGAAAATACCTTATTACTCCATTGTAAGAGCTCCAAAATTGGGGTACAAATGACATCTCTGCTATGTAACTGGCAATGGATTCTTTTAAATTCTCATGCTTTATAAGTATAAAATAATTTAACTTTTTCTTTTCTTCTGGATTTTCTGAGGTAGACTCACTATCTATAGACAGGACACTAGGTAACCCCGACCGGCCTTGAGCTCTGAGATTCTGTCTCTGCCTCCTTGGTTTTGGGATGACAGGCATGTCCACCACATCCAGCACTTGTCTGGAGACCAGTGGTATCTCAGACTGATAAGACCATTTCTATGTATATCTACACACATTTTTTAAAGCCTGGGGCTTTATCATTCATGAAAATTCGCACAACACGACACTGATTAGACTAGGGAATATGATGCTTTACTGTAACATTTACACAGTCTACTAAGTAGATTAGATCACATCAATTCTCAGGCCTCAAACATATTTACTATAACAGGGCCAGGAAAGCTCAAGACGAAACACATCAAATTAATGTAGAAATAAAACTCTATTTCACAACAAACTTAAGCACCATACTTCTCTACATTTAGAAAATCCTTTGGTACCTGCAATGAATACAAATAGGCACATCCTCATGTTCCTGGTATTTCCGCATCAAGCTTATCATGTCCAGAATAGAATCGAAGGAAGAAGGAACATCGTGGTCTGGCCAGTTCACATAATGGAACTGATAGAGCCGGCGGGACTCCTTCAGAGAAACAGAAATTCAGTAACTGTACTCATAGACTTTTCAGCTATGCATTTTATTTAATTATCATTTCTAAGTCACCTTTAAAAAAATCAGATACACAGCCTTCATTTACTACTTACCATACACCCAGTACTGATGTTTCATATGTAATAACTTACCTTCCACAAGGAAGGTGGTGCTCATTCAACTTTTATTTTATAGGTAAGAAAATTTAGACATACTAACTTGCGTAGTGTTTTATAGGATATAACAAATGCAGGATCTAACCCAAGAGATATTAACATATACAACATGCTCTTTATCCATTATATTTCATAACACACTCTCTAATCCACACTCTGAAATTGATGATATATCATTCTTTGAATTCACTAGAGTCAGAGGGAAAAAGAATATCCTGAAGGAAAGAAAAGAATGTCGAGCTCCAAATCCACTTTCTCACTAGATTGCTGGCTCTACATCTGTGGTCCAGGGAACTGTCTCTCTCCTCTCAACCCTTTGGGGGCAACTAGGATAGAAATGGGGGAGTTTTGTTGCCCAGAATAATGCTAAGATTTTACTTTCCTTTTCTTTAACCAGCTAATGTAATATATATTTATGTATTTAAGCTTTTTCCAAATTTAATTTTATAATAAGCACTGAAGGTAATAGCCCAAATAAATCAAAGATACAAAAAAGCCCCAGCAACTCTATAAAAATACTTTTCATTTATGTCTATGTGCCTCGTACCCATGGAGGTCAAACGAGGGCTCTGGATCTTACAAACGTGGAGTTATGAGTTGTGAGTCACCGCAGCTGGGCTAGAAACTAACCTGGGTCCTCTGGAGGAGCAGGAAGAGCTCCGAGTCTCTCCAGCCTCTCAGTAACTTTCAAGATTGTTTATTCTAGGTGTCAACAGAAAAAACAGAGCTTGGAATTCAGCTCCAATATTCAAGTTCTGTATATGTTACTCAACTTCTCAAATTCCCTTTATGTGGAATACACTTTCACAGTTAGGATAACTAACTGATCTGATACACAGGAGAAGGTAAGGTGCTGACTGGAGATAATGAGCAACAAATGTAACAAATGACCCGGCTGAAGGGACGGTCAGTAGTCGGGGAGTACAGGTAGCTTGTCAAAGAGAGCAGGCAGGCTTACAACTGGAATGTCCTTTTAGGCATGTCTGGTTTCTTCCCTGAGAAATTATCGTTTTGTTTAGCTCTGAAATGAGGTAAATATAACTGTAAATCCAAACGACAATTTACTTTACTTATATAGCTGGCGACTGAACCCTTGTGCCTGATGGACAAAGGCCCCTAGCACTGAACTACATCCCAGTCTCTAAATGAAAATTTAGTTTTGTCTTTAAAAAATTGTGAATACAACTAATAAGTGAGTAATGTTATAATGTTATAATCTCTATTGTTAAGAGAAGAAAACTATTTGCAACAAAGAAAGAATCATTATTCCACACACAGAAAATTGAAGTTGTTCTAAGTAAGTTAAAATTTATACTATTTTATTATGCAATACAGATTAAGGCTCAGACCCTAACTAAATAAAGTATACAACAGCAAGACTGAGACATGGGGAAGAGGGAGTATGGACGGAGCAGGAGAGATGGGGATGGAACAGGCACTCTATTATGGAAGTTGCTTACATTTTGAAACTCAAGTAAAAGTGTCCGAATGAAGTAGTCTGTTCTTGCTTGCTCATTTTCCTAAAAGGAAAAAGACTTGTGAATCAGTAAAAACATTATTATGAAAAACATACACATCAAAACAAAATAATAAAAGTACACAATCTAAAATTAACATTTAGAATTTTGTACATATCTAATAATTATTTTAAAAACCTAAAAGTCATCCAGTTAAGCATTTTTAATGGTGCTAGTATCTGAGCCCAAAGCCTTGTGTGTACTAGGATAAAGACACTGATCTATAGCCTCTGCTTCCTAATGTTTTACCTAATTCTTACTTACAGGCTTTAAAAAGTGTTTATTAACTGATTATTTAATCATGACTTTATCATCTAAGAGAATATAACAAATTAGCAAGCATCCCCAGAACAATGTTTTCAACAAAACAATCCCAAAAGAATGTCACACCTTAATATCTCCATTTCAACCACACTTTCTCAACTCTCAAACTGCAAAGAGGGAAGAAGACTATTATTCTTACTGTGGTTGTATGAAACATGAACTCTAAGTCTGACACCATCTCGTAGAGTATTAGAAGGGAGTGTGACATTTGTCTGTTGCTCAGTTCTTCTTTCTGCTTTCTTATTTCTAACCACAGACAGCTTAGGCCAGTCATTAACAATAATAATATATGCCACTCATTAATAAAATAGACATCTAATATTATTCTAGAATGGGAATACTTTACTTATTGTTTTAATTTATGATTATTCGGATTTTCTTTCTTTTTTCTCCCTCCCCCACTGTTCTGGAACTTGCTCTGCCAACAGGCTGGCCTCCGCTCAGCACCAGCCTGCTGCCATGTGAGTCTCACCCACCCCTCACCAGGCATGTACCACCATGCTGGTGCTGACACTGGGCGGAGCTGCTACCCGACACCAACAGTCCCCAGGACACACTCATCTCTCTGTCTCAGACACTGTGGCTGCAGCAGGCTCGTTACTTTCTATGCTTACACTTGCTAATATGATTTCCGTTTGTAAATTTAGTTTTGTTTTCTTTTTTCGAGACAGGGTTTCTCTGTGTTACAGCTCTGACAGTCCTGGAACTCACTTTGTAGAGCAGGCTGGCCTTGAACTCACAGAGATCTGCCTGCCTCTGTCTCCCAAGTGAGTGCTCGGATTAAAGGCATGTGTCACCATTGCCTGGTGCATAAATTCAGTTTTTTATTTGCAGTTAAAAATCAGTGGAAATGAATTCTGAGTTGTCTTAACAACAACAACAACAACAAAATACATAGAAATTCCTTCTTATTTTAAAGTCTTCAGAATGGATTAATTTTGATACCAACAAACCAGATCAGCTTTTATTCACCAAACCAAACCTCATATTAAGAGGATTTTTAAAAATTTATGTTTTAGATCAGATAAAAAAAAGACCCACAAAAGTCAATTCATTTTTTCCCTGCTTATGGAACTGTTCTTTTGTTGAATGCTGAACACTAATTTACTTGAATTGTGACATTCACTACAGTTATCTTGTTGCATTTAAATTCATAAATAGTAAACAACATCACACAGAGCTGTGCTCCCTGTGTTGTCCTGGGACCTAGGGTGCAATCATTTCTACACTAAGAGGGTATGTCTTTACTGAAGTATACTGTGGTAAGTATTAATTAGTATTCATCCTAAATAACACAAAATGCAGCAGAACTAAAACATCTTTTGCCCAGTGTGGTAATGAATACTTTTAATTTAAACATTCGGGAGGTAGGGGTAGGCTAATCTCTATGATGATATGCACAGTGAGACTGTCTCAAAAAGACAAACCACAGAAACCTTTAACATTGTCCCACAAACCATTAATTTTAACTATAACTTTAGAGTATTTATTGCAGACTGAATTTGAGTTCAATTATGAATTGATTCTGGACTTACCAACCTCTGTAATTTCGTGAACCCTTCTTTATAATGAAAGCTCTCTACACTTCCCACCCACACTCCAGTGCCCCAAGGGTTCTGTTTCTCCAAAGCACCCTAATATAGGTAGAGTTCAAGGTTTTTTAGTTGGGCAAATACAACATTTATTTTAGGTGACTAAGAAATAAGATATTAAATGTCACATAAATAAAATAGTTGTATTTTAGCTCTCCTACATTTTAATTCATTTCTGCCCACTTCCCCTTTTCTTGTTTTCCTTCTTCACTGTTTTTAACTTCATCTTCTAAAGTTTCAATTGTGGTAGTATCTGAACTTGAGCTGAACTCCAGAGACCATTAAATAGTGTGGTATAAATTTAATGCCCCCCCACCTGCCCCAAGGACAGGATCTCCTAGTTCTCTGAACAGTGGTTCTCCACCTTCCTAGCGCTGGGACCCTTTATACAGCTCCTCACGATGCGGTGGCCCCCAACAAAAAATTATTTTCATTGCTACTTCGTAACTGTAATCCTGCTACTGCTATGAACTGTAACGCAAATATTTTTGGAGATACAAGTTTGGCAAGGGAGTCACAGCGCACAGGTGGAGAACCGCTTGTCTGGAACTTGCTACTGGACCAATCCTCCTGAGTGGGGCTGGGATTACAAGTGTGTGCCACCAGGCCCAGACTACACTTTAGATTTCATGTCAAATTCCTGTTCTAAGGAATAATCTTCTCTTTTAGGATAGCAATCCTCAAGTTTAACTTCATACATAATTTTAAAATATGGGAGAGGATAACAGGAAAGCTTAATATGACAGATAAGTCCCAGTTAACAACGTTCCTTTCCATTTATCTGATTATAAAAGTGAGTATACCAATTTTCAGAGATGAGTTGCACATAGTTAAACAATAATTATCACAGGATATAAAAGGACTAACAGAATCAACATGAAAATAAGGAAAACCTTATCTCATTTGTTTATTTACAGTTGTAAAAGTCATTCCCAAAGCTCCTAAATTTAAAAGCAGAATAAAACATTAGTACTGATTACTATAGTAAGTGAAGGTTTACACAGAATTGAATCCTAGGCTCGCAGCAGCCTGAGTTCATACCATATACAAATTTCTCAAAGAACGAATTTTTAAAACAAAAATAAGTACTTACACAGGAAATTCTAAATGGTGCAAACGTTATAGGATCTTCTCCATACAAAGGCCAATATCGCTCACACTTTTTCTGTTGTCCAAAAAGAGATAAATAGGAAAGAGTTCAGTAACTGTACGATATTTCATAATCTTTTACAAATGCTCTGTGTCCCAGGGGTAAGAAGAAAGAGCACTGTGTGGTCTAAGAAGCATTTTGGCACTGATAATCATACTATTCTACTGGCTGGTGCTAATTCAGAGTGATCATCACCACGTATACAATGAGATCATTAATGAAATAAAAAGAGAGATCCTCAACTTTAATAGTACTTAAAAAAAACCAAAACACTAGATGAGTTGGGTGGTGGTGGTGCACGACTTTAATCCCAGCACTTGGGAGGCAGAGGCAGGTGGAACTCTGTGAGTTACAGGACAGCCTAGGCCACAGAGTGATTTCTAGGCCAGCCTGGGCCACACAGAAAAACCATGTCTCGAAAACAATAACAAAACAAAACAAAACCAAAAAACAACAAAACAAAAAAACCAACAAAACCACTAGATGAATAAAATTTAAATTTTCAACTATAATCAAATAATAGTAAAGAATATTAACATTTACATAGCAAATTTGATTAGTCTTCAATTTTTAAGATTCTGCTATTTTTATCTTCTGTCCAATATTACTTAACACTGGTAAACAGTTATTCTCAAGGAATAAAAGAAATTAGATAAAATATGGTGTCTCCGCAATTTATGACATGTATTTACTTTGCTTATACAGCACATCTCATATAAAAATTTTAATAGCCATTTTTTAGAACTTTATAAACAACTTCAAATAAAGACACTAGACAACTGACTCTTTAAATTTGATTTGGGTGTCACATCTAAAGGTCAAACAAGTTTTACTTAAGTACAGCGGCGATCTCAGGCCTGATGCTGCAGAGCATCCCCAGGAAATGAAGCACCACTCACACACATCAGCTAAGGTCAAAGTCACGGGAAGCTCAGGGACCAGAGTGTTTGCTAGCATGTGTTAGGTTCTGGGTCCAATCTGAGAATACCAGAAAAGAAACCAAGCAAAGATTTCCTTTTCTGAACTTTGAAAATGGTATAAACAAAAGCTGGGAGTGGTACACACCTTTAGTCCCAGCACTTGTGAGGCAGAGCCAGAAAGGTCACTGGGTTTGAGGCCAGCCTGGTCTACAAAGTGAGTTCTAGGGCTTTACAGTTTTATAAAGTACATAGCCAGGGCTATACAGAGAAATCCTGTCTTGAAAAACCAAAAAAACCAAATACCTCAAAAAAAAATCCATAAATGAAAATAAAAAACCAACCAACAAAAAACAAAACAGAGAGAGGAACAAAGGGAGAAAGAACACAGCAACAACAGGTGGTGGCGGGGTTGGGAGACAGTTCAATGAGTATAGTACCCAGCACTTTATACGCAAACGAAAACCCGAGTCTGGACCCCCAGCACCTGGGTGAGAGTCAGAGTGAGATCCTCTGTAATCCCAGCACTGTGGGGAGGGGACAGAATTCTGGGTCCTAACGGCCAGTCAGACCACTGAAAGGAGCTCCAAGTTTAGAGAGACCCTATCTCAAACCACAGGAGAGGGAGGGAACAGGGGAAGACAATACAGACTGCATGCCGACCTCTGGTTTTTCACACATACATATTTCACTGTACCTGCACACACACACACACATGTATGTGCATGCATGCAGGTACACACAGAGAGACTGGTTTTTGCAGAGACTAATCAGACTATTCATGCATTTTTAATTAGTTTTTAAATTTGAGACAAGGTCTCATACAGATTTGACTGGTCTCAAATCTGTGGCAGGCTTCTTGCCTCTGCCTCTCAAGTTTTGCATTACAGGTGTATGAGATGCCATATGCAGCTTTAAGCTTTCATCATCGGAATTGCTTTAGTATGCTTATTTGTTCAGTTCTATAAATATTTCAAAAGCCACTTTCTAGACAATAAGATATATTTGACTTAAAGTTCATGAAACATTTGAAAACTGTAAGGAACCATACACATTTTAGTGTATTATAAAATGTACTTCTGAAATACAGAAGGACGTTTGTGTTTTAGAGGTCATTCTGATCCACATATCATGTGTAAACAGCAGAGCACACAGAGCAGATTAACGTGAAGTCGTAAACCAGGCTCTTCTGTCCTCACACAACATGTTAGGTGGTGTACATACCCTTCCCATCTCAAATTCTCGACAGGCCATGACGATGATCTAAAAGGGGTTGGGGTAGGAGATAAAGAATATACCAGTTAAAATATATACTTGTTCTATATTAAAACATAGCTTTTAAAACTGGGCAGTGGTGGGGCATGCCTTTAATCCCAGAACTTGGGGAGGCAGAGGGAAGCGGACCTCTATGAGTTCAAGGCCAGTCTGGTTTACAAAAGTTAGTTCCAGGACAGGCACCAAAGTTACACAGAGACCGTGTCACGAAAAGCCAAGAGAGCGATCTTTAAGGTTAAAAGTACAGTCCAGGGGATGAGAATCACTCAATTAAGAGAAAAGCTGCCCATCCAGAGGACCTGGCTTCAGTTCCCAGAGCCCACATCACGGCTAGCGACTATTTGTAACTCCAGTTCCAGATGGTCCAATGCCCTTCTAAGACTCTGCACGCATACAACACAGACATACATGTAGGTAAACACACATAAAAATAAAATCTCAAGAATAAGTACAGGACAAAGACACTATCTTCTAAACAAGAACAACCTACACTGCCAGAAATAAGTGATGTCATTTAAAATGATTTATTTCGTTTAGATTATGCTGTGAATCTGACTTACTTATTTCTTACTTTTGAGTTATACAAAAGGACTGTTGGGATATTATTTACCTACCTTAGTATTACTCTTCACCAAATATTAAAGTACATTTAAATGTAACCGTCTAAAGGTTGAACATAATAAAATTATCAGTTTCTAAATATAAGTTATGCTATCTGCTGCCTCAATTTATATAGCACTAAGATATGAAAGTTTGAAGACTTTATAGTAAAACTGCACATTGTAACCATTAAACTTTTACTGTAACTATCACTGTACTCTTATCCCTTTATCATCTTACTTGTATTTCAGTGCCTCAGTATGCAGTGGGCATCAGTATATTCTCCTCTAGATACCTCAGCATGTGTATTATCTAGATCTCAGTATTTTCAATACAACATTTCCCTTGAAAATACCTAACAATGAAATACATAAATCTTAAGTGGCCATCCTCCAAATCCTGAGAAAAGCATACATCTATGAAATCCAAACCCCTATCCAGACATTAGAAATCTAATCTGAAAGAGAGACTGACAGCAGACACTAAGAACTGTTGTTACCCTAGTCTCCTTTGAGTGTCTCTCAAATGTCAATAAAATGGAGGCGCTAATGAGTTAGGCTCATTGTAACAGGCTCCTGAGACGGGTCTCCACACCCACACACAAATGTCGACTCCACTGATGGCACACAGCCCAGCAGACTTCCGGTCTCTGCAGCATCTAACAGTCCCGTACCTCCTTGCTCTCATGCCCAAGTGCGCACTATTTCCCTTTATCTCCAACAGGCAAAGGAACTAAAAGCCAAGTTTAGATATACTTCCAATTGAATGAGCAGGGCTTGGGTGGGGAGATAGATTCCTTAAATTCTTTTATACTTCTCTTAACGATTTATAGTTAATATACTTCCATTTATTTCTTAGGAAGATGGACCCAAAAGATCCTACTTCTAGAAAAAGGTTAAATGACATGGCTGTCACGGATAGAGGAGAGGCACACTCAGTCCCCACTCCTAGCTCAGGAGAGGATGAAAAGTGACGGCTGTTAGGGAGGGAGAAACAGGGTTTTCTTCTTCTTTTTATTGTTTTAATTAATTTCTTTTAATTTCACGCATATGGACAGATCTTTTGTTCGCATGTAAGTCTGTGTACTACATGCATACCTAGTGCCCACGGATGTCACAAGAGGGCATTCAAGCCCTGGAACTGGAGTTATAGGTGGTTGTGAGGCAACATGTGGGTCTTGGGAATCAGAACTAGGTCCTCGGAAAGAGCAGGCATGTCCTTAACTGCTGAGTCATCTCTCCAGGTTCAAGTCGGTTTTCTTTATGGTCTTTGGTAGGCTCACCAGGTCTCGGGGGATGACTCCATACATGTATTTATGAGAAGCATAAATACTAGTTTGTGAGAATTTAAAGAGCCATATTTAAAATTTGTTTTTGTCTTTTTCAGAAATATTACTATATTTAAACCATTATACCTAAAATGTTGTTTTACTTTTTACTCGGTAAGACACCTAATATTTCTACATATTATGGATCTCAAAAGTGACAAGTAAGCCACTTACCACAACATTGTACTCCCATATCATCCTCCAGAAGTCTATGACCGTATTCGCTAAAGGCCCCTGGGTTGCCACATATGCTTTTGGCCCATAGACGCCCTGAAAGGGTGAAAGGTAAACTTCAGTTCATTGAAGCGTCAAGTTATTAGTAAGGCTTTCTTCTCAAGCCACCGTTCATCACAGTGCATAAAACACGGCACCATGTGCCCGACTCACTTCAGTTTCTGCCCTCACTGGATGGACTGCCCAGAAGCAGCAGTTCAGTCACTCTGTACTAGGAATTAAACAGAACCTCGGCCATCGTGTCATAGCCTTTAATCCTCACACTCAGAGGCATGCAGATCTCTTTGATCTGTGAGTTTGAGGCCAGCATGGTTTACATAGTGAGTTCCAGAACAGCCAGGGCTACAAACAGAAAGACTCTGTCTCAGGAAACAACAACAAAAACTTGATAGTCAAAAAAATTAACTATAGCAAAAATACAAGAGCAAATCCTAAAAACAATACTAAAGCTAGTTAGCAGTTCTTCCCATGGCCGTCCAGAGCCACTCAGAGTCTACTACAGGCTCTGAAGTTAGCTAAGAAAACATCGAACAAGACAGCCGACTGAAGCAAAGGCACCGGCAGACACCCGAGTCAGTTAAAACTAGAACTCTTAATACACATGTATAAGAATCTACATATTGACAATATCTGAAATACAATGTCCATTTTGTTTAATCCACAAATTGTTTTACTGTAATACATTAAATTCTTTACCTGAAACCATATTTGTTCAACATTACATAAACCATATTAATTTTACTACTTATCATCTAACATTATTATCAACAAAATACCTGTTAAAGTATTTATGACTGCCAATATAAAAATCACTGAAAATCTGTAGTAGATGTATAACTGGATTCAAGAGCCCCAAATAACCTATGAAACAAATTTAAGCTTTTATCTAAACTCAGTCACAAAGGACATCGCACCTCTTTCTTGGC